GAAGACAGAGCATCACTTGCCCCAGAGCCCCTATCTATACCTTGTGGCTAATAGCCACTGATGGACCTCTGCTCCATATGCTTATCTAATTCCCTTTTGAAGCCGTCCATGCTTGTAGCCGCCACCACTTCCTGTGGCAGTGAATTCCATGTGTTAATCACTCTTTGGGTGAAGAAGTACTTCCTTTTATCCGTTCTAACCCGACCGCTCAGCAGTTTCATGGAGTGCCCACGAGTTCTTGTATTGTGAGAAAGGGAGAAAAGTACCTCTTTCTCTATCTGCTCTTTCCCATGCATAATCTTATAAACCTCCCCTCAGTCGTCTTTTCTCCAAGCTAAAGAGCCCTAAGCGCTTTAACCTTTCCTCATAGGGAAAGTGTTCCAACCCATTTATCATTCCAGTTGCCCTTTTCTGCACTTTTTCCAAAGCTATAATATCATTTTTAAGGTGTGGTGACCAGAACTGCACACAGTATTCCAAATGAGGTCTCACCATTGATTTATATAGGGGCATTATGATATTGGCTGATCTGTTTTCAATACCCTTCCTAATAATCCCCAGCATAGCATTGGCCTTCTTTATTGCAGTCACACACTGTCTCGACATTTTCAGTGAGTTATCTACTACAACTCCAAGATCTCTCTCTTGATCAGTCTCTGCCAGTTCAGACCCCATCAATGTGTATTTATATTTGGGATTTTTGGCTCCAATGTGCATCACCTTGCACTTGGCCACATTGAACCCCATTTGCCATGTTGATGATGCTGAATAGTTGAAATACGCCGTCTGTGAAATATCATGTTGAACACCTAGAGCACTTTAGTCAATAACTTGTTAAAATTGTTTTTGTACTGTTGGGATTTTAAATGGTTTTATATATGTTTTATAATGGCGTTTGCCTCCATGTAAGCCGCCCTGAGCCCGGGGTATAAATCGAATAAAATAAATAAATAAATAAAATGATCAGCTGCAAATAAATGGACTCTGTTGGATCGCCTCCTCTGCCTCATGCCCCTCCAGTCGCCTGAGGATGTCCACCACAGCGCCATTCAGCAGTTCAGGAAGGGCTCGGCTCTCTCTTTCCTTTCCCCTCCATGCCAAGTAGCTGTATCACTGCAATTCCTTTAACAGCCCGTTTGCAACCACAGCTTTTGGGTAGAAGCCTCTGGGTTGGGACTGAGGAGCTGTGATTGGGAGGTGGGTGTGGGTCTTTCCCCATCTCCCCTGCAGCCCTGTTTGCCTTCCAAAAAGCTCACGGGTGGGAGGGTCAGGTGAGCCTTGTGGACTTACACTGTAAGGAGGCAGGGCGGCAATGAGTGGGGGGGGGTCCACAGGAAATCACCCCAAGCCCTCCTCCACTAGGGGAGCCTCTTGCGGTACTTGATTCCCCACTCCTCCACTTGCTGCAGCCATAGCTCTGTCAGAGCTGTTCTTGAAAGAGCAGTTTATCTCAGAGGTCTTTCATGGTGTTCATGGCAATTTGGAAGGATTCGCCTTCCTCGCCCGCTGGCTTTCAGGGCCCCACGGAATTTTGTCCACAAAGCTCTCCCGCCCCCCCGCCCCCCCAAGCATCAGTTTTTGAACAGCTGAAGGAGACAGTTGGAAATTCAGGCCATGTCTGTATCCCCGAGAGCCTTCCTTGCATGCTTTTTTGGACCAACCCTGTAACCCCAGGCTCATTCGCATTTTCCCTGTGGCAAAACCCCACACCTTTCTTATTTATTCACTACATTTATAACTCGCCTCCTTCCCAAAGTGGCTTCCAAGAGCGTTCTCCTCTCCTCTAAGTTATCCTCACGACAACCGCCTTGCGAGGAAGGTTAGGCTGAGAGCGTGTGACTGGCCCGAGGTCGCCCAGCAGGTTTCCACGGCAGAGCGAGAACTCGAACCCGGGTCTCCCACATCCCAGTGCATCCTCTGGGCAAATGAACTAGGCTGCTGTGCAACGGCACTCATTACGATGGGCCCCTGTGCGGGAGAGCTTCCCAGTGGGTTATGTCAGATACGGAAAGGTTCGATATCTCTGCCCAGCCTGATCGATCGCTTCTTTTCATCGTTTCGAAGCAACGATTCCTGCTAATGCGCCTTTCATCACAACGCCCGATACGTGCCGCAAACAAAGAGGTTGATTGGGCTCGGAAGGATGGATTAAAACATTAGATCTCTGTGCGCTTCCTGAAGATGTGCAGACCTCGCCCCTCCCCCACCCATTCGCTGCTTCGCTGTGTGGAAGATGAACGGCCCTGACGGTGGAAACTGACAGTTCTTTTGTTTAAAAGCCCCCGTTTCTCAGACGCGACGTACTGGATAATGCCAGCCGCCCGGTGCTTCGGCATTAAACGACAGCATCAAAGCCCAAAGTCATTTCCATACAAACACAGTGTATTCAACCCGCCCTGTCCCCCCCCCCCGGTCCCTCAAACCGCTGTGCCAGCTGCTGGGGGAATCTCACTTACCGTCGGTTACACTTGGCGATTTCGTTAAATAGGAGCTCCCAGCAAGGTCGCCTGGTAGAAAGACGGGAGTTCAGCACTTGGTATTTCTCTCCAATTATTTCCTGCAAGAAACAAGGCAGGCTTTGCAAATTGTCACTGGTCCATCAACTATCACTTTAGGATAGTCAGTTTGGTGTGGTAGTTAAGTGCACAGACTCTAATCTGGGAGAACCGGGTTTGATTCCCCACTCCTCCATAGGCAGCTGCTGGTGTGACCTTGGGTCAGTCACAAGCAATGCTCCCTCTAAGCTGTGGAGTCTTGTGAGCAAAAATTCTACTTTGTGAGCTGCCGGCATCAAAGTTGTGAGTGAGCAATTTGGCTGCTGCATAAATGAGTTTGCTCTGGAGCCGTCCTTCCTGAGCTAAGACAAAAATGTGTGAGCCGGAGGCTAAAAAACAGTGAGCTAGCACACACTAACTCAGCTTGGAGGGAACACTGGTCACAAGTTCTTTCAGAGCAGTTCTCTCATAAGCAGTTGAGCTCTCTCAAGAACTCTCTCAGCCCCACCTACCTCACAGGGTGGGGAGGGGAAGAAAACGGAGTTTGTAAGCTGCTCTGAGACTCTGACTTAAGGGCAGGGTATAAATCCAATCTCTTCTTCTTCTTCTTCTTCTTAGGGGGGCTAGTCTCAGGGCCAAACTACACATTACCCTATACGTGAGTCTACCACGGGGTCTCGCAAGCCATATTGCCACTACCAGTTCCCAATGGGAACACCATTTAAAAGTGTCACGGGGACCCAGTTTTGAGCAGGACCAGGGCACGGGGGGAGCAGGGGGCTCTTGCCTCCCCCCCACCCACCCCTTTCCTGAGATGAAATTGTGTGTGGGGGGGATATTGGCCCCACTGGAAGGTTGCAGTTGGCAAGCATTCAGTGCACATGGTGTGTTCCCAATAGGGCTAATAGTACATATACTGAAACACCTCATGGGCAACTCAGGGCCAAACAAAACATCACGGTTTTTAAAGAGTTGGGTCCAGGTTCCCTGGACTTAATTCATGTTCCTGCAACCATACATCAGCTGTGGGAAACTGCTTCTTTTTTTAAAAAAAGGAGAGCCCAAGGATTCAGAATGGATTGGCAGAGAGGTTAGGAGTGGGGGACTCTAATCTGGGAGAACCGGGTTTGATTCCTCTCTCCTCCATATGCAGCTGCTAGTGTGACCTTGGGTCAGTCACAAGTTCTCTCAGAGCTGTTCTCTCAGGGGCAAAAAAGAGCTCTCTCAGCCCCACCTACCTCACAGGGTGTCTGTGGTGGGGAGGGGAAGGGAAAGGTGAGTGTAAGCCGCTCTGAGACTCCGAATGCAGGGCGGGGTATAAATCCAATCTCTTCTTCTCTTCTTCATCTACTATGAGGGAAGGAAGTGCTCCTGCCACCCCACCCCCCCCAAGCTATTTCCCCATGGAAAAATTCACAGGGGGGGGTATGTCCCAGTTTTGCTGCTCCATGTGCCAGATACTCCATGTGGGGCCACAAAATTGGGGAAACAACTATGCCCCCAGTGTGGTTTTTGCAAGGGTAAACAGTGGGGGGGGGGCAGGAGACCCTCCCGCAATGGCACCATTCCAATCGCCCGAGAAGCCAGCCGACTGAACTATACGGCCAACTCTTTTTTCCCTGCCTCTCATACAACATGCTTTACTAGCTATCTGCTCCCCAGCAGTGGCCATAAGTGAATCTGCCTTATATTGAATCAGTCCATCAGTGTCAGTACTTATCTACTCAGACTGGCTGCAGCTCTCTAGGGTCTCAGGTAAGAGTCCTTCACTTCACCTACTGCCTGGTCCTTTTTAACTGGAGATCCTGGGGACTGAACCTGGGACCTTCCGCATGCCAAGCAGATGCTCCATCACTGAGCCACGGCCCCTCCCATATCCTTGTTGATGAATGCCCTTTTAAGAGTTCTGTGTAAACATGCCTCCAAATGACTTTCTGACCTTACAGGATTAAACCTGGGACCTTCTGCATGCCAAGCAGATGCTCTGCACTGGGCTATGGCCCCTCCTGTGTCCTTGTTGATGAGCACCCTTATAAGAGTTCTGTGCAGGGGTCATTTCCTGCAGGAGCGCACAGGAGCAGAGCTCCGGCAGTAAGGCGCTCAGGGGGCAGGCACATGCAACAAGCCCCGCCCCCTGCTCCCAGCAGCCCTCAGTCGGGCCACGAGGAGCAAGAAGCAGCCAGGTAAGTTGCAGAGCCCCCCCCCCGGCCCGCCTTCAGGTACAAGCTCTCCCTCCTCTGTGAGGGCAGATGTGCGCATTCCTCCCCCCTCCCCATAGCTAGCAATCCAAAACAGTCCAGTGGCACCTTTAAGACCAAGTTTTATTCAGGTACAAGCTCTTCCTCCTATGCGAGGACAGATCTGCACATCCCCCCCATAGCTAGCAATCCAAAACAGTCCAGTGGCACCTTTAAGACCAAGTTTTATTCAGGTACAAGCTCTCCCTCCTCGCCGAGGACAGATCTGCACATTCCCCCCCCCCATAGCTAGCAGTCCAAAAGAGTCCAGTGGAGCCTGAGCGGTGGGTTTGCCTTCTGACACACTTATGGTGATGTCAGGGGGGGGGGGCTATGCAAATGTTATGCTAATGAGCTCCTGCACCTCTTTTTCTACGAAATGACCTCTGGTTCTGTGTAAACATGCCTTCAAATGATTTTCTGACCTTACAGGATTGAACCTGGGACCTTCTGCATGCCAAGCAGATGATCTATCACTGGGCCACACCCCCTCCCATGTCCTTGTTGATGAACGCCCTTATAAGAGTTCTGCATAAACCTGCCTCCAAATGACTACTTGCCATTACAGGATTGAACCTGGGACCTTCCGCATGCCCAGCAAAGGCTCTTCCACTGAGCCACAGCCCCCTCTTTTCTATCACTTGGCCATACGTGGCAGTTGACTAAACCACGTGCGGTTAGAGCTGCATGTGATCTCCGGATGGCTTCTTCATGCTGCCTTTGTGAAAGGATGGTGAGCATTTTGTGACATCCCTGATGCCCTAGATTTTCTGATCAGGTCCTGAAATGCAGAGTATACTTTGCCACTATGGACTGGCTTTCCTTGTGGCTGTTTGCACGCCACAGTGTTTCTGAAAGAGTCACCTGTATGTCTGTGGGCAGTCACAGTGATGCTTCAGCAGCTGCCGGACTCGGCACGGTTCCACCCAACCCACAGCTTGTTATCAGGCTAATCTGGGCTTCAGAACCGGCCCCCAAACTGCACAGCCTTCTGTGATGTAATACCGTCCAAATGGTTTGACTGCCAGGGACTCAAAAACAAAGGAAAATAATACAAGGTCTCTTTTCCTCTAGGGAATTCCCTTTCAAAACCTGGAGTCTTCCCAAGTCCTCTGATTGGTATTCCAGCTTGGTCCTCAGGTCTGGAGTGATGCAACTTTTTGCTTGGGAACACGCCAACTATTTGTTCTAACGTCTGATATGGGGTGTGTGTGTGTGTAACCTGTTCCTTCAAAGTGGAAGACGAGGATTTCCATTAAAAGGCTGTTGGGGAAAGTCAGAGTTTCACCTTTGGTCTGTTTGCGTTTTAAAAACAGACATTGATTTTTTTTGGGGGGGGTGTTTAATATTTCAACTTGGGCACTTTTATTTGGAAGCTATTTTTTGGTCCTGCTTGAAACTTGCTCTGATGCTGATGCCCCCCCCCCTCTTCCCCAACAGTGCAAAATGATTCCATCAGCCCGTCAGGTGTCTGAAACTTCCCCAGGTGTCCACGCACCTTCGAGCACCTTTCTGCACTTGTAAGGGACTAGAAACTTGCTTGTAAAAATGCACAACCTGTGATTCTTAGAAAGCTGGATCCTACGCCCAATACCAAATCCGTACCCTGCAATTCCCCAGCACTTCAGCAAAATACACACAGCCCAGCAAAAGACTTTTCCTTCTGCCTTTTTCTGTTTGTTTGTTTGTTTAACTGGAAAAGTGGCCTTCCACAGCCCTCTCTGCTTCTCCACATACCTGTATCCCATCAGTCTGAGTGAGGTACAGCTGAATGTTCACAAAGTCTGGTCGGTTTTCTTGCCAGAGCTGAAAGGATTGTGCATTAGGGGAAAAAAGAGACGTAAGTGAATTAGCACATTTTCCTCTGAAGCAGGAACAAAGATGCTATTGCTAAATCCACGGAGAGTGACAGATCTTTATTCCATTATGTCTCAGGGTCGAACTCCAAGTTACGTGCCAACGCAGGCAGAAAAAGGTAACCTAAATGACTATGGGGCTGGAGGCAAGGGTAAAGGAGGCTGGGCCTTTTTAATGGGGGGGGAGCCCACTGAGGGGGTGACATGACAGAGGCCGGCAAAACTATGCAGAGCGTGCAGAAAGTGGACAGAAAGAAACTTTCCTCCCTTTCGCGTAATACTAGACTGATTTCACCCAATTAAATTGACAGGCTGCAGATTCGAGACAGACAAAAGGAAGCAAAAGTTCACACAAGAAAAGAGCAAGAGTCCAGTAGTGCCGTAAAGACTAACAAAATGTGTGGCAGGGTGTGAGCTTTCGTGAGTCGCTGCTTGTGGAACTCACTGCCACAAGATGTGGTGATGGGCAGTGGCTTAGATGGATTTAAGAGCACTGAAGGAATGTAAGAGGAACAGATTTATTACTCAGAGATTAAGACACTGAGCTGCAGAACAGAAGGTCTGTAGTTTGGCAGTTCAAGACTGCAGTGCCGCATGATGGAACGAGTTCCCGTCTCTGGCCCCAGCTCCTGCCACCCTAGCAGTTCGAAAGCAAGAAATTGCAAGGAGATTAATAGGTACCGCTTTGATGGGAAGGTAACAGCGTTCTGTGCGCCTTGGCATTTAGTCATGCTGGCCACATGACCACAGAAACGTCTTTGGACAGCGCTGGCTCTTCGGCTTGGAAACGGAGATGAGCACCGCCCCCTAGAGTCAGATTCGACTAGCTTTCGAGCAAGGGAAACCTTTACCTTTACTACCCATGATAACCAAATGGGGCCTAGGGGCTCAGAGGCAGAATGCCTCTAATTGTCAGACCTGTTAACATCTGAAGCTCACTTATGCTCAGTCAGACCACTGGCCAATCACAGGGGTCCCAAAGCCTTTTTAAGCCTGTGGGTAACTTTGGAATTTTGACACAGAGTGGTGACTGCAGCCACAAAATGGTGACCAAAGGAAGTGGAGTCAGCCACAAAATGGCTGCCAAAGGAGGTGGAGTCAGCCACAAAATGGCTGCTGTACCTTTAGTCACACAGTGAAGATATTTGTGCTATGGTGGCAGCTGATGCTAAAGCAATGTTTTAAAACATCTGCACAGCCAATCAAATCGCCAATGGCCAATCAGTAGTCCTGCTAGGTAAAAGCCCCATTTGACCCCACCCACTTTCTAAAAACATTTGGGTTAGGTATCAGTAGGGACTCCTGCCTATCAAGATCAGTGTTGTCTACTCTGACGGTGTGATGCTGTGAAGCCGTTGCCTGCGGCCCCTGCTTGTCGTCTTCCCTATTATATTTGACTGGCTGCTCCAGGAGATTTTGGACTAGATGAATCACTGATCTGAAACAGCATGGCAATTTTCATGGTTTAGAGTCTTAAAAGTAATAAAACTCTGACAGCTACTTAGAGACGCTGCCAAAATTCTCCTTGTCTGAGTTCAGGTTTTTGGATTTCGAGTTGGCCTTGTCTTGTTTCTGAAATGCATTAGGAATGCTCAGTCCTCCTGTTTTCTGCTTCTGGATTTGATACAGAACACTGTGCAGAATCAGAGTCAGTTCCTTCATTTCATTAGAATATTTCTCCACTTCTACGTTACCAATACGCACAGCCTGAAAGTCAAACTAAGGTATCCTCCAACACACACACACACACACACGCACACACACCAGTCTTGATTAAATCGTATGCATGGTTCGATTAAAAAAAATCCCTTAGTATTTTACCACTGTTCAGGAGTGCATGTGCACATAAGTAAAACGTCACATAAAGAAAAAGAATCTTGTGCAATAAGCCTTAAGGTTGTTTTTCCACTCTGTATCATCGATATACATGGGGGTAGAAATATAAATGAACCAGAAAGAACTGGAATGCATGGCAAACTGCCCATAGTCCAATTCCAGAATAAGTTTCTGAACATCTCCTTGTTAAACCAAAATTCTGCAGGGCAGAGTCAACTTTATTATTTATTTATTTATTTCGGCTTTTACCCCACTCGAACCCCCCAAGGGGTCTCTGAGCGGCTTACAGTTACTCTATTATCCCTAACTATGGCCACAACTTGACTGGGATGGGGGCTGCCCTACCGGCACCCTGTAGATGGAATGGATTGGATTGGAATGGATTGGAAGCCACAGACTGACCATTGATTCCAAGTTTGCTTTTAAGAGACACATGCAGTTGACAAAAGTGAATTTTCAGTTCACCGTGTATCTATCATTCTATGTATATTTGCAATGGCCATGTGGATATGCAATATATATGGATCACGACCAGTGTTCCCTCTAAGCTGAGTTAGTGTGAGCTAGCTCACAGTTTTTTAGCCTCTGGCTCACAGATTTTTGTCTTAGCTCAGGAAGGATGGCTCTAAAGCAAACTAATTTATGAAGGAGCCAAACTGTTCACTCAGAACTTTAAGAATGGATGATTTAAGTTTAATGTTGCAGAACAGGAGTGAAAAGGTACCTTAAAAGAGATGGGGGAAAGTATATAATTGGATAGGTGAGCTGTCAAGAAGTTAGTGATCCAATAATGTATACAAAAATTAAGCGATGAATGACTCTGACATATATGAAAGATGTAGAGATGAAATGTATAAATGGAAAAATGGAAAATAAATAAAATTTATAACCAGAAGAACTTTAATGTCAGTAGCTCACAAAGTAGAATTTTTGCTCACAAGACTCCACAGGTTAGAGGGAGCATTGATGCACGCCCCTGCAACGATCCTGAATCCACCAAGTTTTCTTAGATCTGTCTAATCCTCAAGTCACACCACTTCAATAACTCTGTGGTTCATCTGATTATTGCAAGACCAATAAAGGCCTAGAGCAAAATTCAGAAATAAGATATATATTTTCTCACCTTGTTATGTAAGCTGCAGAGCAGATCGGCAAAACAGTGGAAGTACCGGATGTCTCTGCACACCCAAACGAAGTACAGTCTCCGGAGTTTGTAGCATTTCCAGTCGTCACTTCAAAATAAGTGGGGTGGGGAGGAAAATAAATTTCTATTAATAAATATCTGCTTTAAAAAATCAAGCACTGACTGAGATGGATCTCACCCCCCCCCCAATTGTTTCCCCACCGTCAAAACTGAGACGATGCTTTATAACTAATGAAGAAGAGGAGGAGGACGACACTGGATTTATACCCCGCCCTTCACTACCCAAAGGAGTCCCAGAGCAGCTTACAATCTCCTTTCCTTTCCCCTCCCCACAACAGACACCCTGTGAGGCAGGTGGAGCTGAGAGAGCTCTGACAGAACTGCTTGTGGGAGAACAGCTCTGAGAGAACTTGTGACTGACCCAAGGTCATCCAGCCAGGTGCAAGTGGAGGAGTGGGGAATCAAACCCAGTTCTCCCAGATTACTCCGTGCTCCTAACCACTACTCCAAACTGTCTCTCAATAAAATAGTGGCTCCCATGTGCGACACAGCCGGAAGGGAGTGACTCCTGCATCCCTGTCACTGAGGTCTTCGGGGGGCAAGAAGGAGAACGGTGGCCCTGGATCAGTCTGAGTGTATAAGGACAATGTTGCCAAGGAGCCGTCCTAACAAGGGATGCTTGCAAACACAAGAACAGCCTCTCCAGATCAAACAGGGGAGCCTCCAAGCCCAGCATCCTGTTTCCAAGACTGGGCAGCCGGGTCCTTCAGGGAGGTTTGCAACAAGCAGGACATGGAGGGTTTTAATGTATGCCCCTGGTATTATGGACACAGGTAGACTCCTTCCGAGCATGGAGGTTCTGCTTCGAGCTGTTGAGGCTTTAACCACTTGGGAAGCAAGATATGTCTGTGGCATGTAGGTGCTGCGGTTTGGCACTTGACTGGCAACTTGGAAGTGTGGGGAACCATGTCCAAAGCTAGACACCGTCCTCATTATACCATCCCTGCTGTATGTGAATTTCTCTTGCACGGACTCCGGTGTCCCATCATGTCCCTGCACGGCCCCATGGATAATGATATCAGTGCGATGCACCTGCTGCATTGCTTGCAGACACTGGATGCGGCCAGTTGGCGCAATCGGAGACCCGAGGGGGATATATCCACACTTGAAAGAGGTATGGCTGCTCCGTGCGATGAAAGTGTGATTTTGCAGTTCTGGTGACAACCCCGTTGCCCTGGGCCACATTTAGCAGGAGAATTCCTTTAAGGAGTTCCTGAAGGGTGGGGGGGAAAGCTTTAATGTGAGGAGGCTTACATACAGCAGGGTGCTGAGGATCGATGCAAACGGAGTGACTCCAATGCCTCCGGCCACGCAGAGGCTAACCTCGTAATTGAAAGATTCTTCAAAGGGACTCCCAAAGGGACCATCTACGTACAGCCTGCAGAAGAAAGGGAAATAAGATTTTTTTTTCTACCTCTGTCCTCCTAAAGGGTTTTTTTTTGTCTATTGCCAAAAGACATCAAAATAATGGCCCAGTTTAACATATCGAATATAATTTCATATAAACAATGGTTTTTCCAGATTAGAGTCCACACACTTAACCACTACACCAAACTGGTTCTCAGGAGGTGCTTCAGAAGAGCTTAGCGTGAGGCATCACCTGTCTGCAGGGAGTGCCCATTCCAAAACATCTGACTCCATCATCCCAGGATGCTTGTCATGGTACCTCCCAATATTATGGGACTCAAGATTCCAGAAATACCCACAGGCTCAACAAAGATGGTGACCCGTGATCTATGACAAAAAGTCATCTCCTCATCACACATGTGCACAAACAAGTCACTATCCCCCCGCTATCAGCAAATAACACCACAGGAAATGCATGACTTGCCACACACGTAGAGTCAGATTTACTTTGGGACAGACCACAGACCCATGGACTAACCCACGGGCAGACCCATGGAGTTCATGAGGGCCACAGAGTCCCGAACGGTCTTTGACAAGAAGGTCTTGGCATGGATGTTGAAGCCCGGCACCCCCAGAACCAAAAGCCTGTGTCATTTTGCATTCAGCAACTCTTTGTCTGCAAACAGGATACAAACTATTATTATTACACTTCACTGCCGCCGAGAAACCCGAGGCTGTACAATCTTCCTCCCTGTCCCAGAAAAGCACTGATTTTCTCGTACCAAAAAATACGAAGGGATTAGAATTATAATAACTTCTCGCATGGTAATTCAAATGAAGTGGCTTTCATTTGATTTTCTTACACTTATTAAGACTCAAGGGCTGCTAATTATTCTAACACAACAGCTCAAAACACATGGCGGGGCGTACGAACGAAAATTAGACAATTGTGGTGCAAAGAGGAGCATAATGGGATGGTATTAGGAAACTGGAAAGCTTTCAGCCGAGTAAAACACACATGTAGTTTTTAGGACATCGGTTTCAGTTGTTTACCTTCCCACAGGGAGATCAGACTATATCAGACCTGAACAACATACATGCATACATGCATACATACATACATACATACTGTAATGTATTCATAAGCTGCCATTGAATGCATTATGTGTTGTGAAACATCTGATTGAAAAGCTATGTTAAGCTTCGTCCTGGGCTAGGATCCAAATCCATCCAATCGTATTGCTAGCCCAGGAAGCACCTAGCCAATCACTTTACAGCAAGCTCCCTGAGCGGGAACGTCCGTGATTGGTCCTTATCTGAACAACCGTATTGGTTGGTATTTGTACAGTGGGTGTGGCTACATTAGCCGGGAGAGTTTAAAAGCAGGACTACTGCAATGTAAAAGCTGAACAGTTCTGTTCTGGCTATCAGATGTTGATCCGTGTTGGAGTTGTGTTCGAGTTGAAGAATAAAGTTGTGTTCTGGCTGAATCACTCTCCGACTTCTTTGTTAAGTGAGCAACTTAACACATACATACATACATGCTGTCAAGTCGCAACTGATTGATGGAGACCCCACCAAAGGGCTTTGAAGGAAAGTGAGAGGCAGAGGTGGTTCACCACTGACTTTCTCTACAGAGTCTTCCTTGGTCGTCTCCCATCCAAGTACTGATCTTGCTTAGCTTCCAAGGTGTGACAAGGCTGGGCTATACCATGCCACCTCCCCTCCCGTGAACAACATGGAGCCAATCAAATAAATAAAGCCCACTACCCACATAGCGTGATCTGACAATCTCCTAACTTTGATTCTGCAGCATCAGGCAGAGGGGAACCCCCCCCCCCAAGTTTACTAAGCTCCTGGAAGGTCATCAGACATGGCTGCTCGGTTGTGGCAGTCTGGAATAGGAGATGACTGTTTTGCATGTTTACTAGAATGTGTGGCAGAGTTTTACAACAGTTTTACAGCAAGACGTGTGCTACTTTATGGACTATGCAGTTGCTGCTTTTTTTCAACTTAAAGGACACGGGAGGAGCTTGAACCGAAGCTAAGCTGGAATAAGCGAAGAGTTTTGTTGCTGATTGTACCAGCCTAAGGTTTGTTGCAGAACTTCTATACTCTTTGTGGAAGTGAACGGTTCTTTGTTCAGCACAGTGGTGTCTCAGATGGCATCTGCTCATCTCACAGCACAGTTCTGTGTTTGATGTAGCCTGTGATGAAAGCTGCAGTGTCAGTGTGTAGGGACTGGCGGCCTTCCTATGGATGCAAGTACCTTCCTCCACAATGTGGATGGGTTGAGTGACTGTAGAATATGCAGCTGGGATCCAAATCCATATTTAAGAAACACAGGATATTTACCCCACACTGAACTTAGCACAGGATCTCTTCTACGCAGAGGATCCCTTATTTATTTATAAGTTAAACTTTTAGACCGCCCTCCCTTGTACACAAGGCTCAGGTCAGTGAAACACATAAATTAATAAAAACAGTTCAAAAACAGTAAAATAACACACAGTGTTTCCAGATGATGCTAAAAATTTCAAATTGCACCACTGTCTTGTAGGGGGCAGAAAATGTGTGTGTGTGTGTGTGTGTGTGTGCCAGATGAGATTGAGCCCGTCACTGTCCAGAGGTATGGGCTTGGGTGTCATCAATATGCAGATGACACCCAGCTATATCTGATGTTGGACTCCGACCCAGAAGATCTACACCGGGCCCTACAGGCCGTGGCTGGGTGGCTCAGGCTGAGCCAGCTGAAGCTGAACCCGGCGAAGACGGAGGTTCTGTGCCTGGGTCACGGTGGTATGGGATTGGGGCTCCCTCTACCGGCCTTGGATGGGGCTCCCCTCGTGCCAGCTTCAGAGGTTAGGAATTTGGGAGTGCTCCTGGACCCCACCTTAACGATGGAGGCCCAGGTGGCAGCCACTGCCAAAGCAGCCTTCTATCATCTTCAGCTGGTGCGGCAGTTGGTCCCCTTCCTTAGCCGCGGCAATCTGGCCACAGTGATCCATGCGACAATTACCTTGAGGCTAGACTACTGTAACGCTCTCTACATAGAGCTGCCTTTGTCACAAATTCGGAGGCTGCAGCTGGTGCAGAATGTGACGGCCAGGTTGTTGGTGGGTGCTCCTAAATGGGAACACATCCAACCTGTGCTGAAAGCGCTGCACTGGCTGCCTATAGTGTACCGGATTCGCTTCAAAGTGCTGGTGCGTACCTTTAAAGCCCTACATGGCCAGGGTCCGGCATACCTGAGGGACCGCCTTTCCCCACACAGGTCCCAAAGAGCACTTCGGTCAGGGTCGCAACACCGCCTGGTGTCCCCGGGCCCTAAAGAGGCCAGGCTTGCTACCACGAGGGCCAGGTCCTTTTCGGTGGCGGCTCCTACCTGGTGGAATGAGCTCCCGGAAGAGACCAGGGCCCTGCGGGACCTCTTACACTTCCGCAGGGCCTGCAACACGGAGCTCTTCCGCCAGGCTTTTGAGTAGGAGCCGCTGCCGCCACTACCACCACCGTGAAACTGCAGAGCAGTATCGCCGGGTTGGGCCGATTGGTCATCTGGAACATCGTGGCCCATGGCGTCCCCCCCCTTCTTTGATCCCTCCCTGATATGCAATGGGGGAGTGTGTATTTATAGTCTTTCATGTATCCTGTTTGATGTGAATTTTAGTCTTAATTGTTTTAACCTGTTTTACTTTTACTGCACTTTGTGCCTATGTAAGCCGCCCTGAGCCCGTGTGCGGGGAGGGCAGGGTATAAATGAAATAAAATAAATAAATAATATAAACAAACAAAAGCTGATCCTAAACACACTGCCTGTAGAAATGTGAGCAGGAATATGAGAGTATGAGCATGATAATGCATGACAGAAAAAGAAGCTGCAACTGAAAATGGCAGCGCTGTGTAAGAATTCTCTTCCCACTCCATGATGTGTTCTGCAAATTAACTCAAGTGTTGATTTCATCATAAAAACAGGTTGCTTACCTGTAACTGATGATCTTCGAGTGGTCATCTGTGCATTCACACCTCTGGGATATAGTGCGCCTGCGCCGGCCTCGATCGGTTCCTCTTAAAAGCGAAAGGGATTTTCACGTCCGCTCCCCAGTCACGCACCAGCCCCACTGTGCATGACCAAGGGAGGGGCACGACAATCCCGCCAGTTCCTTCTGATCGCTGCCATCAGTCTCAGAGTAATTAAAAAAGGAGAGGGCCGAAAGCAGAGGGGAAGGAGGGCGGGTGGTGTGAATGCACAGATGACCACTCGAAGATCATCAGTTACAGGTAAGCAACCTGTTTATCTTCTCCGTGGTCTCTGTGCATCACACCTCTGGGAGAGCAAAAACAGGCCTACCTGGAGGAGGGAGCTGAAGGTCCTAGACTTGCACTGCCTGCAACACTGCCCGTCCCATCACGGAACGTTGATGAAGATGCACATCCACGGGGTAATGTTTCACGAACATGTGGGGGGTAGCCCAGTTTGCTCCCTGACAGATGTCAGTGAGCAACAAACCTCTCAGGAAGGCTGTGGATGTGGCTACTGCCTGGTTGGAATGCGCTCGGAGCAGGCCTGGAAGTGGCCGTTTGGCCACGTAAGTAGCGCAGTTTGATGGTTTCCACAATCCACTTAGATAGACGTTGTGAAGAAAGCTTCTTCCCCTGCACAGGTGTGCTATAGGAGACGAACAAGGCTGGTGACTGACGGAATGACCTTGTCTGATCAAGGTAGAAGAGTATGGCTCTCTTGATGCCTAGAGTATGAAGACTGTGTTCCTCATCACTCGTAGGGGACGGGGAAAATGTCGGAAGAGCAATGTCTGCTCGTAAATGGAACCCGGAAATAACC